TCCCTCGATGACCTCTCTCTGAATTGTGACTAATGACGCCAAGATCCCAAAGACTCCTCTTGTGCAGCTTTCCTACACTGTAGACTTACAGAGGATTAGGGTTGTCAGCAAATTCAACCACTCCAACCCTTAAAGGGTTATTAAACCCTCGTGTGTTTTTGCATGTATCTAGTGCTAGCAAGCGATAGATACATGAAAAAACATTTTTTTTTAAACCTTTTAAAAAGGGTTAATAGTTACCTGTGTCTCCGCTGCGCGCTCCCGTCCGAACATCTGAAGAGTCTCGGGTGCCCGCAAAGGATATTGGGGCGGGCGCATGCGCAGTTAAGATGTTCGCCGGGAGACGAGGAGAGACACAAGGTAAGTCTATGGAGCAGCGTGCACCCGCACGCAGACACCATGGGACGTGAGAGAAGAGGAGGACAGAGGAGTCAGCGCTGGATCGGAGACCCGCACCAGCGCTGGAGGGACAGCTAAAAACTACAGGAAAGAAGAAGATCGGATTAAGAGGCATCATTTAAGGTAAGTCCCAACAGCAGGATTGGGAAGGGGGGGGGGGGGGGGGGAATTGACTTTAATGTCACTTTAATGATACAGTAATGTATTATCTTTACATGTTCTATGTTTCGTTTGTCTCACCCCCTTCTACCCCATTCATCTTGATATTAGATCTGGGAACTATAAACTTTATTTATTTATTTATTTACCTTATATATTACAACACATTTTGTTTTGTTTTTTTTTGGAACAAACTAGTATTTTTTTTGGCACTACTGCAATTCAAAAATTATTTTATTTTCTAAGTAATCTAAAGACAAAAACATGTAAAATAAATGGTGAAAAAAATGGGTTTTTATTTGACCAGTGTGCAGAAGAATTGTTTTACTGCATTTTATTCTACTATTTGTTAATATGACACAAAAGTGATGTTTCTGGTACAAAGCGTGGCTAGCTAAGCAAGTTATTAAAAAAAAAAGTTATTTTAGATGATTAGAAAAGTAGTAGTAGTAGTCGTCGTCATCGTAGTAGTAGTAGTTTTAAGTATACAATACTTTATTTGGGCTTTATCAGCTATAGAAATAGTGTTTTGAGTGCAAAATTGTTTTGAATACGTATACTTTTTTTACGCAACACTGAAGAAAAAAAATAAATGAAAAAGAAAAAGTCAACTTTAACCTCCCTGGCGGTATGATTATTTTTTTCCCCTTTTTTGTTCTCTTTTTCGTTTTTTTTTTTACTTTTAAAATTCCCGCAAGTTCCGCCCCCCTGCGACGCAGACGCTCGCAAGGGACGGAACCCAGAAGATGGATGCCGGCATCGGCAGGAGGACACAGCGGGGATGGTGGACAAGGTAAGAGACGCTACGCTGTAATCCCGAGTGTGGCTCGGGGTTACCGCTTATGGTACTGAAAATTAACCCCCGAGGCACACTCGGGAATACCGCCAAAGAGGTTAATGGTTGGAAAAAAAAATAGAAATAAAAAAAAAATCTACATAAAAATGATAGCTCAGGAAAAGAAAGTGTTGATTAAGGCTTGTTGGGGTTTAATAAGGGAGCAGTTTTCTTTTAATGTATTTATTTATTTTACTTCAGGTTTCTTAACTGATACCATATGCAGAGCAAGGGTTACACCTTGGATCTACATATGAATGGAATAGTAAATGCATTGCACTGTATTACTGTCAGGAACCAGATCTGAACCCAAGGCCTCTGCTGTAACTGGCAGTGGTTCTACCTGCTGAGCCACCTTAGAGAGCTCCTTGCCTGATCTCCTGTGTAATACTCAAGTAAACCTAGTTGCTGAACTCTGACCTTCTTGCTCCTCCCTTGAATTTCCTATGTAAGCCACGCCTCTGCACTTCCTGTTTGCCAGATTATTGTGCTCCTGGCAATATCTTGCTTCCTTGCTCCTCCTGTGATACAATCCTCTCATACTGCTGTCTGTGTGTTGGAACTTCTTGCACAGCCTCACAGAGAAACACAAGCACACAGTCTGATATGTATGCTGCACATGGCTTGGAAACAGGAAGGAAGCCAGAGCTTTATTCTCTATCTTAGTACAATACAACAGAGTATATACCATAGATATACCAGAACACTGCCATCTAGTGACCGAAAATGTATACTGCAGTAGTTGATGCAATAGACACAACGTGTATTCTAACACTGCGTACCGACCTTTGGCTGCTGATTCACCGACTACTCTCATCGTCTTACGCTTCACACCTGATACCTTTGGCTACTGACCACGGCTTGATCTCTGATCTCCGACTACGCTTCTGCCTGCTCCTATACTACTACCGTCTGCTTGTGTACCGAACCTGGCCTGTTTCACCACGACTTTGCCTGCTGTTTCAGCTACTGGACTCCGACCCTGATCCCAGATCGTGACAATTACTCAATGACACTTTTGGACTATCTATCATTTTACACACTGCTGCATTCTGACAGCACACCCGCAATGTAGTACAGAGCAATTCCCAGCTGTCAATAGAGGTGGTGAGAGCGGAGAAGAAGATAGGTCCTAGGAACTTTGTTGAAGTTTTATAGGACCTACCTTCTGCATTTAAGGTCCTATTTTGGTAAATAACACAAATGCAGGAGAAGGAGGAGGATTGGAAGGAGGTCAACTTCAATGCAAAGCTTATTTTTAATCAAAAGTATATCTAATGAAGAATTAGCAGTTATTTGACCTGAAAACACATTGTGTCCAACATGCGAGTTTGTTCACCGGTAGTGAAAATGTACTCATATTCTTTAGTTCTAATAATAATTTTAGTGGACCAATAAAAGCTAAAAAAATAAGGAAATTTGATACATTGTGTTGTTTTGCCTTTGAAGAACAAATACTTATATAACTGTAGCTGTCAGGATCTGAACCCAGGGCCTCTGCTGTAGCTGGCAGTGGTTCTACCTGCTGAGCCACTCTGAAACCTTGGATAGCTCCTTGCCCGCTCTCATGTGTAATCCTCGGCTAAACCTAGTTTCTGCTGAACTTTGAACTCCTTGCTCCTCCCTTGAACTTCCTATTTAAGCCACGCCTCTGCACTTCCTGTTTGCCAGATTATTGTGCTCCTGCCAATATCTTGCTTCCTGCTCCCTCTGTGATACAATCCTCTCATACTGCTACCCGTGTACCGACCTTTGGCTGCTGATTCACCGACTACTCTCATCGTCTTCTGCTTCATACCTGATACCTTTGGCTACTGACCTCGGCTTGTTAGCTGACTGCGCTTCTGCCTACTCCTATACTACTACCATCTGCTTGTGTACCGAACTCAACCTGTTATACCACAAATATGCCTGCTGTTTCAGCCACTGGACTCTGAGCCTGATCCCAGATCATGACAGTAGCAAAGCTTCTCACTTTATTAGGGAAACTATCAGTTTTTTGGCAGAACTTTTGACATCACGATTCCTCAGGCTGTATATCAAAGGATTCAGGAAAGGAATGATTATAGTATAAAACACGGCTATCACTTTGTCCTGCTCCGGGCTGTAGGCCGTTGAAGGTCTGAGGTACATAAACATGACTGTCCCATAAAATAAAGTCACCACCGTCAAATGGGAAGCACAGGTAGAGACGGCCTTCTTGCGGCCTGTGGAAGAACTAATGCGTAAGACAGATACAATGATGCACAAATAAGACGCCAGGATCACCATCAGAGACGAGAACTCAATAAAACTGACAAAGGAGAAGAGGATCATTTGGTTGAGTCTGGTGTCACCACAGGAAATCTCAATCAGGGCCATGACATCACAGAAGAAGTGGTGAACGTACGGGCGTTGTTCACAGAAGTCAAGGTGGAAGAGTGAGAAGCCAGTCTCCACAAAGGCATTGAGGAAACCTCCTACGTAGGAGAACACGAGTAGGATCAGGACGGCCTGCCTGCTCATTATCTGTAGGTAGGACAGTGGGTGGCATATGGCCACGTACCTGTCGTAGGACATTGCCGCCAGAAGAAAACACTCAGTTACTCCAAATCCAGTATAAGAGAGCATCTGAAGTCCGCATCCAGCTACTGATATGGACCTACCATGCGAGACAAAGTCCATCAGCATCCTTATGGTGATCGATGACGAGTAGCAGATGTCAAGGAACGATAAGTGGCACAAGAAACTATACATAGGGGTATAAAGTTTCCTGTCCACGCTGATGAGTACTATAAGTCCGGCATTCTGAAACAGAGTCAGGATGTAAATACAGAAGAAGAATACGAACAAAATACATTTTAGTTTGGGGCTTTCTGTTAATCCAGCCAGTAGGAACTCCGTGGCGGCAGTCTTGTTGAGCACACCCATCGTTGTTAGAGGAAGAGCATGATGTGTTATGGGGCCATCGTACGTTATACCATCCTTATGTTTGAAAGAAGAATCCCAACACGCTACAAAAGACTTACCTCATGGAAAGCAGTTACAATTACATTCAAAACCCGTCACCGAAATGGGTCATTAAAAACGGAACATGAGAGGATAAAGAAGCATCAGAAGTTACCTTCAGTAAGAACTACATGTGAACGTTCGACAGATCCTGAGATCTGGAGCCGACTTTATACACATATCTTTACTTTTTCTTTACAAATTGAACTTGGTCCTGTCTTCTCTTGCCTTCCGAGCCCTCTAATTGGTCATTAAGTCTACCAATCATATTAAAGGACCAATGGAGGATCTCAGGAGGCATGCGGGCATGGATCAACCACCTTTATAATTGAGTTTTTCCTAGTGGAATAATAAGAAGAAGCAGTTAACATGCAAAAATGTCACACAATTCATAGTTATGGTTAATATTCATATCAATGTGAAATGAGAATCACATAGGTAATTTTCCATGAGCCATTATCTTTGGTAGTTCTATAGCTGTTTGTTATGCTGCCATCTTGTGGTCGTTTTGGTTGTTGCACCGTGTTTTTCTGTGTTACCTCCCATCTAAGATGTATTTGCCTCTTCTTCAATAACTAGTTGTTTAGTGTCATGGCTGCCTATAGCAGGACCACATTTACATGCTAAAATGGAATAGGAAAAAGAAAAGTTTAGGAGCGCAACAATCTGGTGCCAGGTGTGTAGATGGGTGAATGAGGATGCGTATATGTGGGGTAGGTAGGACCAGTGGTGTATTTAGGTTTTGTGCTGCCCTAGGCAAGACTAGACCCGGGCGGCCCAAGCATGGAGCATTTTTTGATTTGCAGTGGAACAGAACGCAGGCAATATTTTGCCACGTGTCCAATCGCACTACGGGCAGGGGGAGCGTGGCTGCGGCTACATTGACTTCAATGCACCGCCACGCTTCCTCCTGCCCCAGAACGAAGGGGGAAGTTTGAGAGCAATTGTGGTGCGTTCTGGAACGCAACGCAATTGGTGTGAACAAGCCCTGAGGGAGAAAAGTATCCACATACTGACCATCACTGTCTGCCTCCATTCCTCTCTACCTAGGTCACATTTCCCATACAACAAAACACACTGCTCTGTCTGAACCCACTCCATGTAATTCACACATGGAGCAAACTCAGCACTGTGTTCACCCTCCGTCGATCCACTTACCTCACAGGTGACCCCTCTGTACCGCGCTCCCTCCAAGTCCAAGTGTCCCTGTGTGCAGAGCGGAGCAGCCATCTGTCATAGAGTCCCGCCGGTGACTAGAACTCCTGCCGCCTCCACCCATCACGCGTCATTTCCTCTGATCACAGACAGTGCAGCATCATCGATTCTGTGGCCGGCTGACTGCTCTTCACTGCTGGGCTCTCCCCTCACGTCTGCTTCTGTGCCCGGCTCCCCCCTCCCCCCTCTCCTCCACAAGCAGGCTCCGTACATTAAACGGAGCTTTTACAAACATGCTGTCAGTACGCAGTACAAGGCGTTTGCCTGGGGCCGCTCTCAAGGAAAGTGCCGCTCTAGGCAAACGCCTTGTTTGCCTCGCGGTAAATACGCCCCTGGGTAGGACCAAGATAACATTTTGTGACGTCCTTCCAGCTCCAAGATGTGACCCCGTCACCCCATGATTATACCAACAGAAGTGTCCCACCAGCCCGTCCTCCATCACATGTAAGTGCTTTACGTCCCCTTTTCACCATCCCTCATATACACATCCTCATTCACCCATCTTTCCCCATCTACACACCTGGCACCAGATTGTTGCGCTCCTACCCTCTACTTTTTCCTGCTCTAGGGACACCCACTGGAAGAATTTTGGCTGGTTCATCAAAAATTGGCTGAAATTTGCTTAGTTTATGGCCATTCTAAGTCTCTAACTGTTGTGCTGAGAGGCCCTCTGTGGCCAGAGTGTGTTACCTGCTGGACCCCAGGGTAATAACACACACTGGAAAAGGTTCCAAAGGCTTTGCGAAAGGCTTGCATGTCCATCATTCCACAATAAGCCAGAGTGGCCCCAGGGAGGACGTATGGAACTGTCCCTACTCTCTCTGGATATCTGCATAGATCATGGAGAATGGTGTTTAGGAAGGTGGGGAGCAGGGATGTTAACCCTAACCCCGAACCCTATTCTTTGGAGCATCCTCCAAAGATTCATATAATAATGAAAACAGCAACACCACAGGAACTGTCTATGTCCATGTGTCCACTATATGGAAAAAAAAATGAACAACTATGATGTTTATGGGAGGACAGCGGGGAGCAGACCATTGCTATGCAATTTTAACATTGCTGCATTATCAGGATAAAAAAAGTCGTCATCTATGAGGAAGCTTGGGCGTCTTTGGACCTTCTACCAGGATGATGGTCCCAAGTACACCTCAGATTCCACCAAGGCTTGGTTGTAGAAGAAGTCCTGGAAGATTCTACAGTGGCCATCACAGCCACCTGACTTGAACCCCATAGAAAATCTCTGGTGGGATTTGGAGAAGGGGATTGCAGCACATAAACCCAAGAAGATTAGTGAACTGGAGGCCATTGCTCATGAGGAAGGGGCTAAGATTCTTTAGGAACGCTGGTGTCCGGCTATGCATCTCATTTGCAGCAGGTTATAACATAAAAAGGGTGCTCTACTAAGTACTAAAGATGCTTGCCATGAAGGGGTTGAATAATTTTGAGACTGCAAGTCAATAAAAGTTGCATTTTCAGTTATTTTGCGAAAACCAATTGAAACATTCATTGTGTTGACCTATTTCAATTGCTTTGGTTTGGTTTGTTCATTGCAAACAACTGAAAGTTTATAGATTTTGTAAATAAACCTAACAGTAGGGGCCCATTCACACTTCTGCATTGTGGCAGCACATGCTATAACGCACACGTTAACATGCCTCACCCCAACACATTGCAATGCACCTGCTCTATGTGAAGTGGGTTGCAGTGCCATTCATTGTGAATGGTGACCCAACTCATTGTACTGTACAGCCACAAGCACAGCACACTGAAGTGCACCGCAGTACATATACCATGAGTCGTTGGGCGCTGCACTTTTAAAAAAAGGATCATGTACATTTTTTTTATCCGTTGGCAGCCCATTAATAATAAGTGGGTTGCCCTAACTCAATGCATGTTAACACATGCCATAACGCAGATTAATGCAATGCAATGGGACACTTAAGTGTGAATGAGCCCTTATGGCTTTTAATCTGGACTAATACATATAATTCAATGTGTTTATTCATGGTCTGTAAATGTCATATGGGTCAGGTGGGTTAGGTACAAGGTGCGTGTAAATGTATCATTTTCGGGATTGATATATCTAATGTTTGGGCTGGGGTCCCCCTATTAGTGAAATAAATGAACTTTGCACCATATTCTAATTATTCGAGTTTCACCTGTATATACATGCTTTATCTTCTTCCTGCTTTTCTCAATGATATTACCTTTACTTTGATGGTTCTTTGCCCAACATCTCTGCATAGGTTTTGTTCTGTGGGTTCACTTGATGATTCCTTGGCATTGCGCGTGGCAAGTGAAAGATCTGAAGATTTATATGAATTGGAAATCCATGAGGGACCTATTAATAGGGGAGCAGATGGCAGATCTGCAACATTAGAGAATTCTGTTTTTTATTAGCAAACATCTTGTTAAAGCGGAACTGCGTCCTTCCCTCCAGTCTTGCAGTTCTATAGGACTGACGTTGCTTCTGATTTCACACTGTGAGCTTCTCTGGTGTAATATTTGGTCACGTGTGCAGCACCAATGGCAACTGCAGATCTAAATAGAGGCCAAGATGGCACCTTCCAGGGCAGAGAGGTGGGCAAGAGTTCTGCTTTAGTTGCAGGATAAAAAAATCAGGTCTCTTGAACTGCCAGACAGAGCTGTGCTGTGTGGCCGAGCTGTGTAATGGAATAGATAACAAGCTGCACTCCTTACCGGAACAATAGTAAACCTGCGGAAGCAGGTGGGTGCTTGGAGCGACCACGGACGGCACCGAGAACAACACAAAAGTAGCAAAAAATGTCACCAGCACAACAATAAGTAATTCAGCAAAAGTCCATTTAATGACACATTGCCATTCAGATACAAGCACTTTGGGGGCCTTTTTCAGGCTCAGAAGGGGGTACATTTTGCTACTGCCGAGCTGTGTAAATCCCGGGACTGGATGGGCAGAACTACATTTTAATTT